CCCCGGGGAAACTGAGGCAGGTGGGAGCTCGGAGGAGCGGATCTCCGGCATTTCTACCCGCGCCCCGCTGTGCGCCCTCCCCCACGCCCCCGGGAGCACAGGAGTGGGAGGGGGTCGGGGTAGGGGCGGCTGGTCAGTCTGCCCCCAGGGTGGGATCCGGCTGAGGACCCTGAAGACGCTTTGCGGTGTTTCCCAGGCAACCGGCCGGGAAGGAAGACGCCCCAGCGCACGGTCCCTCCCACCCTCCCACGATTCTCGTAGGACCCTAGCCTCCCCGAAATCCGAGTCAGTGAAAGCCCGCCCATCTCCTTCGCCTACCCCAGGGTGCTAGCGGGGTTAAAAATATACATACTCATCTGATCATCTTCCGAACTTCCTGGACCACCCTCCCTCCACTGGGGGGAAGACCCCTACAAAACCGGTGGGGGCCCAGGCTCCCGTGGGCAGCACGGACGGGTTGGGGAAGGGGGTCAGTGAGAGAAGTGGGGGAAGGAATATTGCATGGAGAACGTTGCGTGGAAACAGGTAAGGACGGTAAGAGGGGACCTCGAAGGAATAATGAACTCACGGGGTAATCATTGTTCATGCGTTCATTCCAGAAGCATCTAGCTACCCTTGACAGCTGGTCTCATGGAGCTCTAAGAACACTTGCAGAGCTGGTTATAATTCATACTCCTGGGCCCCTCCCCAGGGAGCAGCATTTGTGATGGGCATCACCCTTCGTTGTGCAGGCTTACACTGTCTGGGAAGTCATTGAGGCCTGGGAGAGATGGGAATCAGAAATCAATGAAAAAGAGGGGAAGGAGTAATAGGGGCCAGGCTGGAAAGAGAAGACCAAGAAGATGGCGTGGAGAACTAGCATGTGAGGCCGGACATCCTGCCACTCCCTACCCCCACCCCCAAGTTGCCAGGGACCTGATTTCTGTGAGAATGGCATCCAGCGCCCTGAAGGTGTTTGGCCCTCTGAGGATGCCCAGCTGGCCACGGGGACACTGACTGAGGAGGCCGATCTGGCTTTTTGGTTCAGCTCAGCCGCCCCAGACTCACCTGCCTCAGAACCACCAAGAGGCTAGTGGGAGACAGCCTGGCCTGGAGCCTTGGGTTTGAATCCTGGCTCTGAGCAAGTCACCCCAGGCCCGGGCTGTGACATGAGGCATCCAATTTGCAGAATTGTCATTTCCCATTTACCCCGGGCCTTGGACACAACCAGGGAACCAAGCAGACCCGGCCATTTGGCTTGGCCCAGTGCCAACATGGCTGGCCTCAGTTTGCTGGCTGGAGCAATGGGAGCTGTGGTTCTGGCCCTGGTGCCTGGGCACTAGCAGGGGTGTTCTGTGCTGCTGTCCAGGCCCTGAGGGTTGGAGGCAGGGACAGCTTGGGAAGCAGTCCCACTGGGGCCCATCACACAGGTAGAGGGCTCTGCAGCTCTGCGCCAGGCTCACTCCTGCCCCATGTGTGCTTCCTGGGGAGCTGGCCACAGGCCCACTGTTGAAGCTCTGGGTGAGGTGCTGGTTGGCTCCCAGGCCCCAGGCTGTTGGGTGCCATGAGTTCATCACCAGCCCAGGATCCCAGGGGAACCTGAGGCGACTCTGAGAACTCGGAATGAGCCATCACTCCCAGACACCTGTGCCCAGACACTGGTGTGGCCCCCATCTGGGCATTGGGCTAAGGGAGGAGGGAGGTACGGTCAGAAGACCCCCTGGGTCCCGGCCTCCACTACCGGCTGCATGCTGGCTCTGTGGCCTTGGGCAGCTTCCTAACCCTGGGGCCTCAGTTTCCTCATCCCAATGAGGGGAACAGAGCAGCACCCCTCTCCAGGGCTGAGCGTTATGCAGGGAGATGCTGAGTGGAAAATACAGGTAGGGAGCTGCCCCCCTGCACCACCACCTTGAACATTTGGTTCTCACAGACACATCCATCCCTGCAGCTCAGGCCACTGGGCTCCTGCGTCACGTTTGCCTGTGAGATGTAGAGCCCCTGTAGCCCCTGTCACATGCAGACACAGCGGCTGGCGGTTGCCCTGGCAACAGCTCAAGCAGTCGCTGCTACTCTGGCTTTGGGGGCTTCAGAGGGAGCAGCCCCTTCCACTCAAGTGGAAATGACAGTGGCCCTCTGCCCGGGCTGGTGACTTAGAGAGACCAAGTGACTTGGCACAGCCCGGGGCGGGGGGTGATCTCCCGGGCCTCGACCCTCCCAACCCCCCCTGCCTCTGGTGGCCACGATAGTGCCAGCCCTCTCTTTGCCGAGGTGCCCTCTCCTCCTGCCTCAGGCTGTTCCCAGGATCATGGCTCCTGTTGGTTTTTGGTTAATTTAGTAATTGCTAAATCTGCTGTGCGAAGCTTCTTGGGGAGTGCATGGCAATGCTGCTGAAGTAATGGAGGAACGGAGGACCGGAAGGCACAGCGTGCTCTCTGCCCGCAGGCCCCCACCATGTCCACCTTGCTGGAGATCAAGAGCAGCGTGCTCCGGCAGGTGCAGGTCTGCCCGTCCTTCCGCCGCAGGACTGAGGAGGAGCCGGGGAGCGCCAGTGCTGACCCGCAGGAGCCTGCCACGGGGGCCTGGTGGGTGCCTCACGGCCCAAAGGGAGCCCGGGAGGGTCTGTGCCCAAGGACATGGGGTGCCCTGTGGACATTGCGCTGTGCCCAAGGCCTGCCTTCAGTCATGCGGGCCGGTGGCTGGTCCTGAGCCGGCAGCCTGTGCTGGGAGCGTGAGCTTCGGGGAGGGACTGGTGACCCCACGCCTGGCCTTTCTCGGCAGGAAACCGGGGGATGGCGTGGAGTTCTTCACCCAGATGCGCCTCATCCTGAAGAAGGAGGAAGGCAGACGGAGCCTGCCATGCCCTGAGGTGAGGATGGCTCTCGGGCACTGCTGTGTAGCATGGGGGGCATTGTGCCCGGCCTCCTCACCTGCCCCCTCCACATCTGGCCTCCACCCCTCCATCCCCTCCCTGGATCACCCCCCACCCAGTCAGCCACAGGACCCCCACCTTCGGAGACCCTCACCCCAGCACCCCCTCTTAGGTCTTATTGCGCAGCAGCTTGCCAGCCCCCACCGAGCCTGTGGACCCCAACCGTGGCCTGAGAGCCCTGACCCAGGAGGAGGTAAGAGGGATGGGGTTCCGGCCCTAGGGTGGGGCTGCGAGCACCTATTGTGTGCCAGGCCAGAGTCTGGGACTCGGTGGACAGTAAAGGTGTCTGGGTGGTGGGCTGGGCCTCCCCATGCAAGTGAGTAAGGAGCAGAGGTCAGGGATGAGTAACAGCCCCCAGCAGAGGGCTAGGCAGAGGGCTAGGCAGGTGCAAAGGCACTGAGGCAGGGCGTGGATCTCTGCCAGTGGGAGGAGCTGCTGAGGGCTGGGGGCTGGACACATAGAGGGTGGGCCCAAGGAGCCTAAAGGGAAACAGGGGTGTGGTGGCAAGAGACTCAGGGTGTGCTCCCCACACCACCCACAGGTAGAGATGCTCTATGAGGAAGCGTTGTACACCGTCCTCTATCGAGCAGGAACCATGGGCCCTGACCAAGTGGACGACCAGGAGGCGCTGCTGAGCTACCTTCAGCAGGTGAGCCCCATTGGCCTGGTCTGTCCTGCTCTGAAAAGGACCGGGACCACTGCCCACCACTGACATCACTATCAGTCACCTGAACAACACACAAATGCGCACCATATACACAACATACACATATATGTGTGCGCGCACAGACAGACACACATACAGGCTGACCGGCACACCGGAAGGATGGACACACACACGCACACACAGAAGGGTAAGAAGGACAAGCAGACACATCTTTTCTCTCACCTGTGTGCTACCCCCACCCATGACATTTGCAGTCGGGCGTCCCTGTCTGGGGCCATGCCTGAGGCCCCCACGGGGATGGCGGCCTTGCTTTGGGGGTCATCTGGGCCCTCACACCTGCCTGCCCCCCACAGGTGTTTGGCACCAGCCCCGAGGAGCATGCAGAGGCCATTGAGAGAGTGAAGAAGGCCAAGGTGAGGCTGCCACCTGCCTGTGCAGAGCTGACCAGCCACATGCCCATGTTCAAGGACTTGGGTGGAGAGCACAGGGCAGGGCTGAACCCCTAGAGGCTCCTCAGCATCTCTCTGCCCACAGGCCCCCACATATGCCCTGAAAGTGTCCGTCATGCGTGCCAAGAACCTGCTGGCCAAAGACCCCAATGGTGAGCAAGGACTGGCCCGGACGTGTTAGCTGCTCCCAGACCTGGTTACTGTGGAGAGGAGGGGGTCTGGGGTCAGGGACTGAGGCACCTACTGTGTCCCAGGCTTCAGTGACCCGTACTGCATGCTGGGCATCCTGTCTGCCTCGGGCACCCCACGGGAGCCAGGCCCACACAAGGAGCAGCGCTTCAGCTTCCGGAAGGGTGCCAAGCGTGGCAGCCCGCAGCCAGCGAAGAGCATCCAGGTCACCGAGGTCAAGAGCAGTACCCTGAACCCTGTCTGGAAGGAGCACTTCGTCTTGTAAGCCCCCTCACCCAGCAGATGGTCAGGGAGGCATTGCCTGTGGTGCCGGACCAGCCCTGGGGTACCCGGGGGTGGCTGTGACCAGAGGGTGACTCCTGTAAGTAGCCTCAGTGCCTGCCTAGGAAACAAGGTGGCTTCATATGCCCACTTGCTAGAGGAGAAACTGAGTCTCAGAGATCCGTGTCCTCAGGGCCACACACCCTGTCATGGACGCTTCCCTGTGTCTCCTAAAATGGTCCCTGCCCAGTCCTGGGCAGCCCCTCACGGATATCTCTATTTTCCTTGTAGTGAGATCGAGGATGTCAGCACGGACCAGCTGCACCTAGACATCTGGTATAGACCCTGTGCCCTGCAGGCAGGGGCTGTGGGTGCCTCTGGGCTGAGGGTAGCGGGAGGGGGCACTCGGGGCTGGGCTGGGCTCCAGACAAGCCGGGTGCCCCCTTCCTCAGGGACCATGACGATGACGTGTCCCTGGTGGAGGCATGCAGGAAGCTAAATGAAGTCATCGGCCTGAAGGGCATGGGCAGGTACAGCAGGTGGGACCCTTGTGCCCTCCCAGTGCTGGTGGCTCCCCAGAGACCACACGTGTGATGCCCACCCTGCTGTGCTCAGGTATTTCAAGCAGATTGTCAAGTCAGCCCGGGCCAACGGGAAGGCGGGGCCCACAGAGGACCACACTGATGACTTCCTGGGCTGCCTCAACATACCCATCGGGGTGAGTGGGTGCGGAGGCTTCACTCACGGAGCACCTGCTTGCGGGTGCGGAGGCTCCTGGGGCACTGACGTGTCCTGTAACCCCCCCAGTCCTCCATCCTTCTAGGGCCACGGGGGAAAGCCTCACTGAAGGGGGGCGCAGGGCCAGTCTCCTTGGGACTCTGTCCCGGCACCCCAAGTGCTCACTCTGTGCTAGTCACTCCAGTCCCCTGGGAAGCGTGGAGGCCTGTGTTCTCCCCACAGCCCCACAGCCTCTGAGAACTCGCCATTCTGAGTCCCCTTCCTGCAGGAGGTGCCCGTGGCTGGCGAGGACCGATGGTTCAAGCTGGAACCACGCTCCAGCGCCTCCCGCGTGCAGGGAGACTGCCAGCTAGTGCTCAAGCTGATCACCACGCAGGTGGGGAGCCGTGGGGAGCCGTGGGGACCCCGGCCCTGCACCCCAGCCCATGGCTCAGGCCCCTGATGAAGGGCCCTGTGTTCCAGAGGGATACGGGCATGAGCCAGCGCGGGCGGTCAGGCTTCCTGTCCTATCTGCTGCTGCTCAGCCGTCTGCTGCAGTTCGAGCACCGAGCCGAGGAGGTAGAGGTGCCTTCGGGTCCTCGCGGCAGCTGGGCACGGCCTGGGGAAGGCAGGCGACGGGGACCGCCAGCGGGAGGGGATGGGGGTCTCCCACCTGCACCCACGCCCAGTCCCTCCCCCAGCCCAACTCCAGCAGCTGGCGGGGCGACCTCAGCGCGCCGGCGGCCACTGTGCTCTGCCTGCACGGCGCTCAAAACAACCTGTCTGCCCTGCAACTGGCGGTGCTGTGAGTGGGCGGGGCGAACGAGGGGCGGGGCGGTGGCATTGGCTGGGCGGGGCATGAGAAGGCCATTCCCGTGAGTGGGCGCGGCGCTCAGGGGTCTCTTAGACGTAGCGTCCTGCCCGACACCGCTGCCCTGGCTCTGGGCTGGGGGCCCCCATAGGCACTGGCAGGTCAGCAGCCGCCACCATCAGACCTGCACCCTGGACTACGGCTACCTGCTGGGGCTGCTGGAGGACATGCTGGGGCACTGGGAAGAGGCGGCCTCACTGCCCCAGGAGCAGGTGGGCTTGGCCGTGCGGCCTGAAAACGTTCTTGGAGGGCGTGCCGCGGGCCTGCTCGGGCTGGGGCCCGCAGTGAGGGCCAGTCCTCTCTCCGTCGGGTTCATGTCCAGGGA